TTGTCACCGTTATAGTGCAATTAATGTATTGTTTAGTGTTGTGTAGGGGCTTTTCTGGCATCCAAAAATGTTTAGGGGAGTTTGCCCCACCAAGATTGAAATGCTAAAATCACCACTGGGCATAGTACTGTAGTCAAATAAGAGCAGAGGAGAATGTCTGAACATATGATGATAACTATAGCTGTCATTCTATTTATTGTAATTTTATTTTTTAGAAGGAAAAATAATATTTGCAAAAGGTTGATCTATTTCCATAGTGTGAATGTAAACTGATGTCCTGTCTCCCTGAAGTATCCTTGTCTCCCTGTACCATATGTATCCATTCCATCCTGTTCCTTATGTCTTCTGTCCTCAGTGCTGCCTCAGCCTGCATGTTCCTACTGCCCTGTTGGTAGTAGCTAGTGTGAAGACACCAGTCTTCGTCCCCTTACCCTACCATCCATCCCTAAGCACTCACTCACTGTCATCAGTCCTTCCTCATATCCTCTCCTACTTTCTATCACTTTTTCACTTTCTGTCTATCTCTCCCTCTCCCACCCTCTCTTTTCCTCCCTCATTCCTGTCACCTCCACTCTCCCAGCTCAGCCCATGACTTACAGTTTGCGCTTTTCATTCTTTCGGCAAAAGGGAAGTCTTGTTTTACCTTTTGTGTGTGCACCGATGCCTTCAGTAGATTCCTGCACATTGTTGACAGTTTTTCTAATAATTTGCTAATGCTGTTGTCTGCTGAGCTTTAGGCTGAAGAGATATTATTTTGTCTCTAGACAGAGGAAGGATGTTAGTGATAGAGATATGCATGGTGTTCTTGCATGTAGACTAAGCTTCATTTCTGGGGTTGATCCGCCTCTCTTGTAGGTTGAAGTTGAAACCAAGCCAGCCTCTGATGTAAGTGTAACGTCGCTGTGTGCTTTTGGATAATATCATCTTTGCATTTAATGTCAAAGCTTCAAGGGACCTACTTCTAGGTTGTTAGAGGTCACAGATTTTTCTTCTCTCAGAGAAGTGGCACTCTCCTCACCCGTGTCATTGACTCAGGGTGTTTTTCAGAGATGAAGCACAGAAGACAGGCATCTCCTAAGCCTTTAGTTGGGTATACAATAGAACACCATATTACCAGTAGAGATGTCATCTGCAGGCCTTGATGTAGTCACAGAGTAAACACTATAGGAAGAATAATACTGGGCAAACACTGAGCCATTCATCCACATATTCCATCTGAGAGAGGTCTTTGTAATGTTGGACCTGTATAAGCCAACGTTAACCACACTTAATCTGATGTTGACAATCTGTGAGAAAGGAATTCTTCCAGTCATTATGATTTGAGGTATTATTATAGCTAATCTCTGTGTAGCCACATTTTTACATATTTTCAAGATTTAAAAGTAGGAAAGTACAGTGTGAAATACTAGTGTTCTAAACTAAAGGGATATACAGTTCATGTCTGCTGTTTGGATGTTTGACACAGCTGTCCTTCCTGTAGAGTAGACAGCTGCTTGGTAAATAGAACTACAGTATGGCCAACAGCCACTCTACAAATAACATGGGCTTTGGCCAGTGAACAATTGATGGTGCTTTTATGAACAGCATCTCTAAAGGTTTGGGTCTGATACACAGTATCTCTGCTATTGGCTCCTCTTTACTATATGTGTGTTCAGTCTGACGGTGAGGAAGCTGAAACAGAAGCAAGTGGTGACCCACAGTTGGAGACATCATCAACCAGCGACACAACCAGGAGTGACAGTGCAATGGGAGGCCTTGACCCACCAGCCACCAACACCTCCAAGCAGGACAGCACAGAGGACCAGGGTTCCACCCGGAAGAAGGTGGTTAGGGTTGTTAGGAGGGTGGTGAGCAGGGTAATGCCTGGGGTGGAGGAGCACCCTCAAGCCCCCAGCACAGAGCCAGCTAAAGCTTCCCCTATTGCCACGTCTTTACTCAAGACTGCGCCCCTCTCCGGCGAGAAGGATAACATCTCCATGGGCCTGGCCAGCCTGATGGGCCGAGGGAGGACCAAGGAGCACCCGCACCCAGGACCGCAAGGAGGACAAAGAGGAGGAGAAGGAAGTAGAGAGCCAGGAGCCTCCAGAGGAAAAAGCAGAGGAGGCCACTCCACCTCCATGTCCACTCCTACTCCTCCTACCCCTGCACCTCCTACCCCTGTTCCTCCCACCCCAGCTCCCCCCAAATTCAACCCCCTCATACATCCAATAGGGTTCACACCCAAAGCCAACTCCCTCACCCCTCCTCCAGGCGTTATCCCTGCATCCAAAGCCAACCCTCTCGCCCCCCTCCAGGTTTCTTCCCTGTCCCAAAAAACAACCTTTTTGCCCCTCCTCCAGGCCCTTTTTGCCCCAAAACAAAATCTTCTTGCCCGGCCCCTCTTCCAGGGTTCGTCCCTGCCCCTCGCTCATCGGCTGTAAAGAAACCAGAGGTACAGAGTGCCTGCCTTCAAATGCCTGCCTAGAGAGAGTATTACATTAGTCAATGGATCATGCGGTTGTGATATGTGCACTGAACACTTATTAACCTGTTCTGTGTGTGAAATTAACACAATTAAGAATTATGCCTATTGATTATACTTTTCACAGTCATCGTACAGTAAGTTACCTGGGCTAGGCCAAAGGATGTGCATAACAAACCTTTAGAAGAACCATGGCATCAATAGACTCTGGTGTGTCTGGGTGGGGACTCACCTGGGTTGGTGATGTAACCTACTGTAGGTTCCGGAGCTGGTCCCTACAGAGGAGAACCACAGGCGTCTGAGGAAGATCCTTACCGGAGCTAGCTCTACTGTAACTTCACCTCTCTCTTTCAGCCTGTATGTCTGCCTGCTCTGCTGTGCTATTACCCAGTCTTACCTTGCCATGGGTCCGTGCCACCCTTCTGTGCTTCAGCATGGGGACAGGTGCACTGTCTCATGTGGCCCCAAACTGGTGTTGATCACTAGCAGCAGGGTTTGAATTATGGAGGTGCCCTGTGGTGTTGTAATTGGAACCCTGACTAGCAGCATCAGTGTTATGTCTTTTCAGCTTAGAGCTTATAGCCTACGTCAGTCTGTCATATGGCCTCCTATCATGGCTTAGGAGCTCTCCTTAGTCCTATGGATAAGGGCTCATATGAATAAGGGTCCTGTGTGGGTCCTCATTTGCCCGGGGTCCTCATGTTCTTACATTGATGTATTCTGTCCTTTTGTCATTCACTTTCTGACAAATGGGTGTTCATTTCCCCTGAGGTTGAAGTCTGTTTTTATCCACTTGGGGAGGATATTGTGTTCTTTTAATGCTGGATTGCGACTGAACCTGTTGATTCCAGATCCCAGCTGTCACATCCACTCTAAAAACACTCTGTGATCTGTTTTTTAAATATCTCCTCAGTCCTCCTTCTGCGGTCTCATCTCTTCTTCTCTGTCTCTCCCTTTGTGTATCTGTGTTGCATCTCTGCTTGCTGCTGTCCTCGTTGCTGTGTGCGTATCCGGTGGCGTCTTCTCAGGTACTGTCCGTCCCCTGTCACCTCTTCCTAGGATGGCCACCCACCCACTGCCCTCACACAAGGCCTGGCCGGAGTGTGTGCTCATGTTTCGTGCTCTCTTTTAACTGACCTCGCCGTCCCCTACCCCTGTCTCACCCACCAGGGGTTCTGTCTGCACCCCATACTCATTCCCTCACCATGTTGTTGTGGACTGAATTCTTTCCCTCTGTCCGTGAAGCACTGCTGGAAGTCCCAGTAATATGACCTAACCTCTCCCACAGAGACGGCCTCTGCAGGACATAGTTACATAGACTGGTAAAGCTAGAAGGATTAACATGTGCTTTCTTTTGTTGTTTTTCACAGCCAATGTGTGGGTGTCAGTTATTTTCTTCATCTGCATGTGTTATCCTACCTTCCACCCAAATTCACAAAAGATACTTGTTACTTGGCTGTTGGCAAGTGTTTGAACATGCAGTATGGTCCTCAAAGTTGATCTCTGACCTCTGGATTGACCCCCTCTTCCTGCCCTCCTCCAGACATTGGTGGATCAGGACCCCGTGTCCCTCCTGCAGGTGGCCCACATGGCCGCTTCTCAACCCAAGGTCTGCCCACTGCTATGCCTGACTGCAATACCCCATGCATCTCCTTCAGTTCTGCCCTGGATGTGTTGTGTGTGAATCACAGAGCCTACATCCTCAGCTGGGATTTTGTATCTGTGATGAACCATTAGAATATTGAGAAACTCTTGAAATACATGACTTATTAAGCCCTTTTTTATCTGATGATGGTGAAGTGAGTTCCTCAGTATTCTACCCTGTCTAGTAGGTTTACAGTGAGAGTGTATTCTTGTCTAGTGATGTGGCTTGCTTTTCAGTATGATTTTCAGATCCTGAGAAACTCAAATTGCATGATGTGTCCACAGATTAATTGTCATATGATGTGTGTTTAATTTGTTCGTATTATATCTCTATCACATTCTTCATGAATATTTGTGGTGAAGTGCTGTGGTACTGATGTGCAGCCAGTCCAGTCATGTGTTGTGCTGTGTAACTTGTGCTGTGTAATGGTGTTAGGTTATGTAGCATGCTTTATTCATGACTCCCTATCCTTTCAGTGAGAGTGGATTCTCAGTAGTTTGGTTGCAGGGAGTGATCTGATGGGTAACACACAGAGTAGGGACCAGGGGCCTGCCTAGTAGGCCATGAGGGGCTTTCTGGAGGCCAGGTGTGGGTTTGCAAGGTAAGAGGGTAGGGGAAGTGGGTGGTCGGGTCAAGTGTTCCGTGGGGAAGAACAAGGGCTGAAACCCCAAAACTCCTCCTCCCTCACGGAGAGGATGACACTGCAATGCAAAGCCCAGTTCTGTTCCTGTCCTCCAGTTCAAAGATGTCCGGTTACTGAGGATGACAACCTCTTCACTGGTGTTAATTCATCTAGCTCATTCATCTCTCTGGGTATACACCTCTGCTCCTGCCTTCTAGCTTTTCCTCTTTTAGAAATGTACTAACCCTGTCTGTGGGCCCGCTCTCTCACAGGTGAAGACTGAGGAGCAGATAGCTGCTGAGAAGGCCTGGTACGGGACCGAGAAAGTATGGCTGGTTCACAAGGATGGATTCTCCTTGGGTTAGTAGACATGAACGCCGCCATTCACCCCAATATGATCAACATTTAAGCATATTCAATTAACTGTTGATTTATCTGAGTGAAGTAGTAATCCTTATTTGTATTGATTTTGTAAATGTGTTCAATATAACACATCATGCAGCCTAGACAAACATTTGATCTGTGACATAATCAGTGGCTGTAGATCATAATGATACTGACTGTTCTGACTGGTCACCACAGCGACCCTGTTGAAGACGGAGCCAGGCAGTCTGCCAGAGGGGAAAGTCAAGATCAGACTGGAGAGCGACGGCTCGTTGCTGGATGTGGATGAGGATGATGTGGAGAAGGTAGACCTAAACTCATCAAAATGTACATGATGATTGGCCCCTGTAGTGCACCTAATTGAATTGTTCTCCTATTGGATCCTTTTACTTTTATTGGGTCATTATCTGAAGAGAAGAGTCTGTGGTGTATCAACTCTTTGAACTCTGACCCATGTGTGTAGGCAAACCCTCCATCGTTTGACCGTGTGGAGGACCTGTCCTCGCTGCAGTACCTCAATGAGTCCAGTGTGATGCACTCCCTGCGCCAGCGCTACGGGGGCAACCTCATCCACACCCATGCTGGGCCCAACATGGTGGTCATCAACCCCATCAGCGCTCCCTCCATGTACTCTGAGAAGGTACTGTTCTGGGTGGAGCCTGGGGTTAGCAGGATAGGGGAGGGGATATCTTCTAGGAGAGTAGCAAGTACACCAGAGTTTTTCCATTTCAATTATTATACAACATTCTTGCAACCAATAGAATGTTATATATATGGGGGATACAACCATCCCAGCTCTGCAGATTTTGCTGCGAAGAGACAGAATCATTAGATCACTTGTTTTGGTACTGCCCATAGGTAGCTTGTTTTTGGTCGCAGGTTCAGAATTTGCTGAATAATTGCAACATTTACCTGGAGCCAACTCTGCAAATAGCACTGCTGGGTGACTTGAAAAGCTGTAGTCAATCGATCAATAATATAATAATACTCTTAGTAAAAATGTTCATCTTTAATTTACACTGTAGAAACTCTGAGAATTGAAAGGTTCAGAACTTTTGTGAAACATCATAGCACAGTTGAAAAATATGTGGCAATTAGAAATCAAAACTGGATGGTCTTCAGAGATACTGTAGATGGGAGGGGTTGAGGCGGGCTGAAGGGTGGGACTAAAAACGAATAAAAGATTACTAATGTAAAATATACTGTGTCTGTAAAATGTATATAGTACGTATAAGCTGTAAGTATTGTTGTCCATTAGTTTACTCCAATTTGGGGAGGGATGGTAGGGTTAGGGGAAAATGATAAAGAAGGAATATATATATATACTGCTCAAAAAAATAAAGTGAACACTAAAATAACACATCCTAGATCTGAATGAATGAAATAATCTTATTAAATACTTTTTTCTTTACATAGTTGCATGTGCTGACAACCAAATCACACAAAAATTATCAATGGAAATCAAATTTATCAACCCATGAAGGTCTGGATTTGGAGTCATCCTCAAAATTAAAGTGGAAAACCACACTACAGGCTGATCCAACTTTGATGTAATGTCCTTAAAACAAGTCAAAATGAGGCTCAGTAGTGTGTGTGGCCTCCACGTGCCTCTATGACCTCCCTACAACGCCTGGGCATGCTCCTGATGAGGTGGTGGATGGTCTCCTGAGGGATCTCCTCCCAGACCTGGACTAAAGCATCCGCCAACTCCTGGACAGTCTGTGGTGCAACGTGGCGTTGGTGGATGGAGCGAGACATGATGTCCCAGATGTGCTCAATTGGATTCAGGTCTGGGGAACGGGCGCGCCAGTCCATAGCATCAATGCCTTCCTCTTGCAGGAACTGCTGACACACTCCAGCCACATGAGGTCTAGCATTGTCTTGCATTAGGAGGAACCCAGGGCCAACCGCACCAGCATATGGTCTCACAAGGGGTCTGAGGATCTCATCTCGGTACCTAATGGCAGTCAGGCTACCTCTGGCGAGCACATGGAGGGCTGTGCGGCCCCCCAAAGAAATGCCACCCCACACCATGACTGACCCACCGCCAAACCGGTCATGCTGGAGGATGTTGCAGGCAGCAGAACGTTCTCCACAGCGTCTCCAGACTCTGTCACATGTGCTCAGTGTGAACCTGCTTTCATCTGTGAAGAGCACAGGGCGCCAGTGGCGAATTTGCTAATCTTGGTGTTCTCTGGCAAATGCCAAACGTCCTGCACGGTGTTGGGCTGTAAGCACAACCCCCACCTGTGGACGTCGGGCCCTCATACCACCCTCATGGAGTCTGTTTCTGACCGTTTGAGCAGACACATGCACATTTGTGGCCTGCTGGAGGTCATTTTGCAGGGCCCTGGCAGTGCTCCTCCTGCTCCTCCTTGCACAAAGGCGGAGGTAGCAGTCCTGCTGCTGGGTTGTTGCCCTCCTACGGCCTCCTCCACGTCTCCTGATGTACTGGCCTGTCTCCTGGTAGCGCCTCCATGCTCTGGACACTACGCTGACAGACACAGCAAACCTTCTTGCCACAGCTCGCATTGATGTGCCATCCTGGATGAGCTGCACTACCTGAGCCATTTGTGTGGGTTGTAGACTCCGTCTCATGCTACCACTAGAGTGAAAGCACCGCCAGCATTCAAAAGTGACCAAAACATCAGCCAGGAAGCATAGGAACTGAGAAGTGGTCTGTGGTCACCACTGCAAAACCAGTCCTTTATTGGGGGTGTCTTGCTAATTGCCTATAATTTCCACCTGTTGTCTATTCCATTCCAGTGTTCCCTTTATTTTTTTGAGCAGTGTATTTTAAAATGACTGTGCTTTTTCTGATCTGCAAATTGATTGACAAACAAAAATCAGTCCAAAAACAATATAGAAAAATCTGTGCAGCCCTCCGTTGAATCTTGAAAACCCTTGAGCCAAAAAGTGTGCCTACCCAGCTTAAATATATTATATACACTGCTCAAAAAAATAAAGGGAACACTTAAACAACACAATGTAACTACAAGTCAATCACACTTCTGTGAAATCAAACTGTCCACTTAGGAAGCAACACTGATTGACAATAAATGTCACATGCTGTTGTGCAAATGGAATAGACAACAGGTGGAAATTATAGGCAATTAGCAAGACACCCCCAATAAAGAAGTGGTTCTGCAGGTGGTGACCACAGACCACTTCTCAGTTCCTATGCTTCCTGGCTGATGTTTTGGTGACTTTTGAATGCTGGCGGTGCTTTCACTCTAGTGGTAGCATGAGACGGAGTCTACAACCCACACAAGTGGCTCAGGTAGTGCAGCTCGTCCAGGATGGCACATCAATGCGAGCTGTGGCAAGAAGGTTTGCTGTGTCTGTCAGTGTAGTGTCCAGAGCATGGAGGTGCTACCAGGAGACAGGCCAGTACATCAGGAGACGTGGAGGAGGCCGTAGGAGGGCAACAACCCAGCAGCAGGACCGCTACCTCCGCCTTTGTGCAAGGAGGAGCATGAGGAGCACTGCCAGAGCCCTGCAAAATGACCTCCAGCAGGCCACAAATGTGCATGTGTCTGCTCAAACGGTCAGAAACAGACTCCATGAGGGTGGTATGAGGGCCCGACGTCCACAGGTGGGTGTTGTGCTTACAGCCCAACACCGTGCAGGACATTTGGCATTTGCCAGAGAACACCAAGATTGGCAAATTCACCACTGGCGCCCTGTGCTCTTCACAGATGAAAGCAGGTTCACACTGAGCACATGTGACAGACGTGACAGTGTCTGGAGACGCCGTGGAGAACGTTCTGCTGCCTGCAACATCCTCTAGCATGACCGGTTTGGCGGTGGGTCAGTCATGGTGTGGGGTGGCATTTCTTTGGGGGGCCGCACAGCCCTCCATGTGCTCGCCAGAGGTAGCCTGACTGCCATTAGGTACCGAGATGAGATCCTCAGACCCCTTGTGAGACCATATGCTGGTGCGGTTGGCCCTGGGTTCCTCCTAATGCAAGACAATGCTAGACCTCATGTGGCTGGAGTGTGTCAGCAGTTCCTGCAAGAGGAAGGCATTGATGCAATGGACTGGCCCGCCCGTTCCCCAGACCTGAATCCAATTGAGCACATCTGTGACATCATGTCTCGCTCCATCCACCAACGCCACGTTGCACCACAGACTGTCCAGGAGTTGGCGGATGCTTTAGTCCAGGTCTGGGAGGAGATCCCTCAGGAGACCATCCGCCACCTCATCAGGAGCATGCCCAGGCGTTGTAGGGAGGTCATACAGGCACTTGGAGGCCACACACACTACTGAGCCTCATTTTGACTTGTTTTAAGGACATTACATCAAAGTTGGATCAGCCTGTAGTGTGGTTTTCCACTTTAATTTTGAGGGTGACTCCAAATCCAGACCTCCATGGGTTGATAAATTTGATTTCCATTAATAATTTTTGTGTGATTTTGTTGTCAGCACATTCAACTATGTAAAGAAAAAAGTATTTAATAAGATTATTTCATTCATTCAGATCTAGGATGTGTTGTTTAAGTGTTCCCTTTATTTTTTTGAGCAGTGTATATATATCTTATCTAGCTTATCTATCTATATGGAGGATTGGAAATGATGCAGACAATTAGAGTGGGTTCTGTCAATGTATCTGCAATATTAAAGCTGATTGGTGAGGCTTTATATGGTGAGAATGACACTCAGTTCTCTCTCTCTCCAGGTGATGCACATGTTTAAGGGGTGCAGGAGGGAGGACACAGCGCCTCACATCTATGGCGTGGCCCAGTCAGCCTATAGGAACCTGTTGACCACGCGTCAGGACCAGTCCATTGTGCTACTGGGGCAGAGCGGCAGCGGCAAGACCACCAACTGTCAACACCTGGTCCAATACCTGGTCACCATCGCTGGCAGCACTGGCAAGACCTTCTCTGGTAGGTTTTGAGGGGAACGAATATGCAGTACGTTACGGAACAAGTTATTTACATTTTTCATTTGCAAGTCCACTATTTGCCTGCTATTCTCTATTTGGCCTGTTTCTGTGTGTTTCCCAGCGGAGAAGTGGCAGGCAGTCTACACAATCCTGGAGGCCTTTGGGAACAGCTCCACCTCCATGAACGAAAATGCCAGTCGCTTCTCTCACATCGTGTCCCTGGATGTTGACCAGGCTGGCCAGGTGGCCTCGGCCTCCATTCAGACCATGCTGCTAGAGAAGCTAAGAGTGACCAGGCGGCCAGAGGGAGAGTCCACCTTCAACGTCTTCTACTACATGATGGCTGGAGCTGACAGCTCTCTCAAGTAAGCTGTCATTTTCCTCAGACCTCTGTGTGGAGTGGACCTACACCTTTGCCAAACTCTCTCTTTCTCCGCTCCCTCTCTCACCTCTCTCCCTTTCACCTCTCCATCTTTCTACTCTCTCTCCATTTACTTTAAAGTGTGTGTTTTGAAGGTCAGAAACTCTTGAGTAGCTCTGTCAGGTATACTCTTGTCATTGTGACTGTATGACATCTTGTCTCATATTGCCTTCCCAGGACTAAGCTGCACTTCAACCACTTTGCTGAAAACAGTGCTTTTGGAATCGTGCCTCAACCCAAGGTAACTCTACCCAGGTCCCCAAAAACCTTGTGGGAAAGACCTTGTGTCAGGAAAGTTTTATTTGGTTGTGTGAATAGACTCACACTGCTTTTTATGCAAGTGTTTTATTTTTGTATTCTCTTTGTATTTTATTTTCTGCTGTATTTCCTATGTGTAACTTGTTGTGTAATTGTAAGATGCAGGGCTCCCAATGGGACTCACTGTTAAAATAAAGGTAAAATAAAGACAGTCCATATTAACACCTGTCGTTTCTCCCCCCAATGCTTGCCCAGTCTGAGGACAAGCAGCGGGCCTCCCAGCAGTTCACCAAGCTGCAGGCAGCCATGAAGGTCCTGGGCATCAGTGGGGAGGAACAGAGGGCCTTCTGGCTGGTCCTGGGGGCCATCTACCACCTAGGGGCTGCAGGGGCCACCAAGGGTAAGACCTGCAGAACTGTACACACCAGGAGCCTACTCTGACACAATGTCAGATGTTCAATTCAGAGGCTAATAATGGAGCTGCATTCTGTATTTAAATTCCATGAAACACTTACAACTAACATGACAGATGCATGTTTTCTGAATTCAACAAAAATAGAATACATTTGCATAGTGTATCTGAAAGAGTAAAGCCAAGCAAAGAGACACTGGGTGTAGCTGCCATCTATCAGGGCCTTTTTGTTTCAAGGAGCTTTTCGATCTGAGAACATTCAGAGAACATTTGTGACAGTTCTGAAGTCTAAGAGCACTTTCAATAATTCCACATTTTACCATCTGCAGGAGAGATGTTCATTGCGTTCCTTTACCGTTCAGCCATGCGCAACACAAGTACCAAAATGGTTGGTGTCAGTTTGAGACAGTCGGGCGACAACTGATGAGTTTTAAGTGTTCCAACTCAAGAAGCAACAAAGTCCCAGCCCAACTTCAGCCTTAAACTGACTAAATGCCTTGTCATTGGAAAGCTCCCAATGTCTGCTTGCTGCTGTGCCTCCGCAGAGAACAACCCAGTGTGTTTGATTTCTATTTGCCTGACAGCCCAGAACGAGACAGATTGTTTACACTGTAGTAATGAAAATGGATGTGTGTGCAGTTGGAATGCTTATTCACATTGTCTAATGTTGTCTTCTCTGCAGTGTCAGTCATAGAGGAAATTGGTAATGATCCCAAACAAACACCCTTCTGGGTGTGTTTGTGTCTTCTACTCTTTTGATCACCTTCTCTTCCTCTCTGTCTCCGAAGTGTTAATTGATAAACTCCAATCTAAAGATACATATTTGCTGGGTTACAATCTGTCAGATCATTGACCAAAAAATCTGTCAGTTGCCACTTGGTGGAAATCTGTTTACACTTGCTGCCCTCTCCTATAATACTACAACATCTTTGTAGTATTATAAAGAGTTTAGAAATTGGTGTGTTCATTGGAGGTTTGATGTAACACCCTAATGATAAGCAGTGCAGTTTGACTAGGTAACACCAGAGGGCAGCATAGACATTTATTCATCATGAGTTGCACTGTCAAAACACAGAAGAAGTGCATGACTATCCACCTGCTATCAGTAGATCTGACAATGAACGGGAGGTTGATTGGGTGTTCTGACAAGTGTGGGCTGTTCTATTCCTCAACTCTCTGTAAATTGTTTTCCAATGAAGCTCCTGAATGCAGTGTGTTAGTCAGACCCTGTTAAAGCGTGCCCATTGCTGCTGTTTGAGTGATGTGTGTGTGTGTGTGAGCGTTTGTCTTTTCATGTACTGTATACATTGCTACTGTTGCTCCAACTGTTGTTCTGTTCTAACCACCTGTTCTTACTTGCATGTTGCATGCTGCTCCCCTTGCATTGCAGACACAGACAAAGGTAAAAACACCCTCTCCATATTGTTATGTTCTGCCTCTGTGCATTTATCGCTGTGATGCAGACATGGTGTCATTAGCATTTTAATGAAGTTCTCAGTCTTTTTCTTTGATTGTCTTCACAACCTTCTTGCTTGTCACAACACGGTGGCATGGGATGCTCTCATAGGCACGATGAAACAGGGAGATCCCAGCATGCCTCAGTCAGAAGCGCAAATGTCTGATGTTCCCCAGTCAGTCGCCCTCTTAAGTGTCTGAGGGAAGGTTCCTCTCCAATACCGCACTGAAATTAAAACCCACTTCTATCCACTCACTCTCATCACCCATCCACCAGACTTGGTTTGCAGACCAAGGCTTGTGTTTCTGCAACTTCATACTTTAGAATGATAGTCCCTGTAATTATTTCCTGTGGATGTCTGGATGAAGGACTTGTAGCTGTGAGAAAAATAACATTGAGAAAAATGTAAGATCTTTCAGAACTACGTTAAACGGTAGCGGCAAAAAAGCTTTTAGTTAATGGGACTGTAGAGAAGTAGGAGAATTTTGAATTTATACCATTTAGATGCACAGTACCTTGAATGTGCTTTGTAGGCTACATTTCACTATCCTGATGAGGTTGTTGTTTATTATTATTAGCTCTTCTACTATCACAGCTGTGTTAGCCTGGGGCAGGGTCGACTTGACCCAGACACACATCGCCTCTGTCAGTAACTGCAGTCTCCTGTCGTGGATAGACACACTGTCCCCATGGTTGTTGGCAGAGGAGATAATGATGGTATTTCTGTGTGTCTCAGCCGGTAGGAAACAATTTGCACGTCATGAGTGGGCGCAGAAGGCTGCCTACCTGCTGGGCTGCACTCTAGAAGAGCTCTCCTCCTCCATCTTCAAGCACCAGGCCAAGGGCACCCTGCCCAGAGCCAGCTCTATACGTCAGGGGACAGACGATGCACCAGGAGACTCCTCAGGTACACCTGGGACTAAACACACACACACACACACACATGCCCCTCAGCTCATCACCTAGGAGACACGACACGCTTCTCTGAATGTTAAAGCTTATCTAAGTAATGACTACAGTCCCAGAGTGGTTATTGATGGGTAGGTATAAAAAAAATCTCAGGACGATTTTAGAAGTCTTCCTTATGCATTGCCCTTGAAATGTTAATTTCATTGTACAGTATCTGAGAGTTTTATCAGGGGTTGACACACATAATGTGAAGGACATACAGTGAGGGGAAAAACTTATTTGATCCCCTGCTGATTTTGTAAATTTGCCCACTGACAAAGAAATGATCAGTCTATAATTTTAATGGTAGGTTTATTTGAACAGTGAGAGACAGAATAACAACAAAAACATCCAGAAAAACGCATATCAAAAATGTTATAAATTGATTTGCATTTTAATGAGGGAAATAAGTATTTGACCCCCTCTCAATCAGAAAGATTTCTGGCTCCCAGGTGTCTTTTATACAGGTAACGAGCTGAGATTAGGAGCACACTCTTAAAGGGAGTGCTCCTAATCTCAGTTTGTTACCTGTATAAAAGACACCTGTCCACAGAAGCAATCAATCAATCAGATTCCAAACTCTCCATCATGGCCAAGACCAAAGAGCTCTCCAAGGATGTCAGGGACAAGATTGTAGACCTACACAAGGCTGGAATAGGCTACAAGACCACCGCCAAGCAGCTTGGTGAGAAGGTGACAACAGTTGGTGCGATTATTCGCAAATGGAAGAAACACAAAATAACTGTCAATCTCCCTCGGCCTGGGGCTCCATGCAAGATCTCACCTCGTGGAGTTGCAATGATCATGAGAACGGTGAGGAATCAGCCCAGAACTACACAGGAGGATCTTGTCAATGATCTCAAGGCAGCTGGGACCATAGTCACCAAGAAAACAATTGGTAACACACTACGCCGTGAAGGACTGAAATCCTGCAGCGCCCGCAAGGTCCCCCTGCTCAAGAAAGCACATATACATGCCCGTCTGAAGTTTGCCAATGAACATCTGAACGATTCAGAGGAGAACTGGGTGAAAGTGTAGTGGTCAGATGAGACCAAAATGGAGCTCTTTGGCATCAACTCAACTCGCCGTGTTTGGAGGAGGAGGAATGCTGCCTATGACCCCAAGAACACCATCCCCACCGTCAAACATGGAGGTGGAAACATTATGCTTTGGGGGTGTTTTTCTGCTAAGGGGACAGGACAACTTCACTGCATCAAAGGGACGATGGACGGGGCCATGAACCGTCAAATCTTGGGTGAGAACCTCCTTCCCTCAACCAGGGCATTGAAAATGGATCGTGGATGGGTATTCTAGCATGACAATGACCCAAAACACATGGCCAAGGCAACAAAGGAATGGCTCAAGAGGAAGCACATTAAGGTCCTGGAGTGGCCTAGCCAGTCTCCAGACCTTAATCCCATAGAAAATCTGTGGAGGGAGCTGAAGGTTCGAGTTGCCAAACGTCAGCCTCGAAACCTTAATGACTTGGAGAAGATCTGCAAAGAGGAGTGGGACAAAATCCCTCCTGAGATGTGTGCAAACTTGGTGGCCAACTACAAGAAACGTCTGACCTCTGTGATTGCCAACAAGGGTTTTGCCACCAAGTACTAAGTCATGTTTGCAGAGGGGTCAAATACTTATTTCCCTCATTTAAAATGCAAATCAATTTATAACATTTTTGACATGCGTTTTTCTTGATTTTTTTGTTGTTATTCTGTCTCTCACTGTTCAAATAAACCTACCATTAAAATTATAGACTGATCATTTCATTGTCAGTGGGCAAACGTACAAAATCAGCAGCGGATCAAATACTTTTTTCCCTCACTGTATAGGCAGTCAGAACCGTATCACAGGAGAACTGGACAGTTGGCCTTTATTTTACCTTGTCTGTGACCTCCCTCCAGCCACCTTTAGCTCAGTAGCTATATTCCTGGATATGGTAGATTATTGTATCATTCTGGCTCTGTACTCTGAACCTTCCTAGATTACACTGTGCTTTGTGGCCAGACTCAGACTTGTCAGAAGTTCTCAGATCAAACCACACAACATCCACATCCATGCCTCATGACACTGGGCACCTGGTAAACCTTACTGACATGGGATAGCTTTCACATCTACACAAAGGTTTACCAGATGCACACTGCCATGAGGCATACATGTGGATGTTGTGTGTGGTTTGATCTGAGCACTGCTGACAAGTCAGTCTAAACCTTCCTAGATTAGTGAGTAGAATACAGAGCCAGTAGGTTACAGTAATGTTGCCACACATCAGACATGGTTGTGATTTACCTGTCTTCCTCTATTACCACCTCAGAGATTCAAGGGCAATAGCACTAGGTTTAGCTGGTTTCCTGCAGTTATCCCATTTAAAATGTCACACTCACTGGAGTGAGCCGAGCATTCCGTGCCTCTGCAGTTGCTATGTATGCTGTCTGATCTGATGACAGGGACGTTGTTGTGAATTTGTCTCTTTTCACCTATTCTCCTACCAGGTTCCAAGGCCACAGCCATGGAGTGTTTAGAAGCCATGGCATCTGGGCTGTACTCAGAGATCTTCACCCTCCTCGTCTCCCTCATCAACCGGTTAGTCACCATTTTACCAGAGATGGAGGGAGATGACGCAGGCATGCGCCACTACAGTTGGTTCTCTGTTTATGCTCTGCTGCCTTGTACTTGTTGTTTTGATGTTATGTTTTTTCGGTCTGACTGTGTGTGTGTGTGTCAGTGCTCTGAAGACCAGCCAGCACTCTCTGTGCTCCCTGCTCATCGTGGACACCCCGGGCTTTCAGAACCCTCGCCTGGCCAAGCGGGAGCGCGGAGCCACCTTTGAAGAACTCTGCCATAACTACACCCAGGAGCGCCTGCAGATGCTGTTCTATCAGCGCACCTTTGTACAGGAGCTAGAGAGATACAAAGAGGTATCTTAATATGCACAGTACACACACACACACACACACACACACACTAACACATACGTAAACACACACACACACACACACACTTTTAAGGATTCAAATATACATTCTCACATACGGACATAAGATGACACATTATTACTTCCTGTAAGCCATTGCAAATTAGAGCTTCATAGATTTCATGGTTTCTACCCCCTCATCAATACTGTCAGTGACACCGTGAGCCCATATAATGGCCCATATGATTGCCATCTCTCCTCCCCTGCCGGGCCTAAAGTGAGTTCACTCATCACTGGCTGTGTGAACTGGGTTGAGCTGCTTACTGAGCCTCGCTGGCTGATGAAGAATAACACCTCTGTCTTTAACTGCCTCTTCTCTTCACACAGCAGATCTACTCTCTAATGCTAGTCTATACACCCGTCATAAGAGGGCTGAATTATCCCTGACAACTCTGTCCTAACTGATGTGTGGCTAATCACTCCCATTATACAAAACACAATGGTTTCACTTTCATAGCCTGTAGCTGTTTATCAGCAGTTTATGAGCAGTTTATAACAGTTTTATTACTATGTATATACTATATCTGATAATGAGTAACATAATGAACTAATTCCTATAGTAGACAACAAAAAAACTTGGCACCCTTTCTTCATATCTATGTTACTGTCATTGGTTCCTAATCATCCCCTCTGTTCCCCCTTAGGAGAACATAGAGCTTGCATTAGATGACATGGAGCCCAGAACATCTCTGTCTGTAGCTGCAGTAGACCAAGCGTCAAGTCAAGCACTGGTAAGTACACTCCTTCAATATCTATATTCACACCAGAGTTTACCCGGTTAGAGAATTTGAATGAATAGGGCCCTATGTCCTGCTTTCTATGACCATGGCAGCTTCATGCTGTACAGGAGTTCTCTCTTCACCTTTCTATGGGATTTCTCTTTGATATTGGCACAGTCCAGTGCAACATTATCTAACATTAACTCCCTTATGAATCTCTTGGTACTTTGAACTGCCAGATCTCTGTAATCATGGCACCCTGCCGCTCTGACTGGCCATAGTTTTCACGGTGCACCTTTATGCATATTATAATTACATTCATGAGTCCTTTGTGATTCACAGTTAGTCAGTCTAGCGTTATTGTATCAATTTTTGCAGATTTTAGAATTTTCAGTTTAATGTTCCGTTAATTTTTTTCACCTTAGAAGAGGTTAATATAATATATGAATGCCTCCGTAGAGGAATCAACAGAAAGAAAGGTGAAGGAAAAGGAAGATATTTCATTCAGCAAACAAAAACTAGGAAACTTACTCTGGTGGAAGAAAACATTTTTTCGCTTCTCCTCCAGTGTGTGAAGTGTGTGCCATGGAAACAGAAATGACACGGTGTTGACAGTGTAAGAGCTAGCTGTGTAATAATTCCTGGTTGGTTGCTTTGAGTGCTCTGCTTTTTAAGGGGTCCTGGCCCTGCTGGAGCAGTCTTCAAAAGCACTGAACCAGTGTACAGCAGATGGCTGCAAAAGGCCAAAGCCTTTTTAAAGGCTGACAAAGCAAAAGAATGGCACAGCCCACGCCATTAGAGAGCACTCTCTGTTCATGTCGAGACACAAGGATGAAAGCTGACAGTTGAATTTACACTGACACTCTTCAAATGTTGTCCCCTGACATTAAAAAGTCAGTACCCATGGGTTCACTGGGCTCTGTTTGTTTGCTATGAAGGCTTTTAGTGGTCCAGGAAGAGGCATTTGTGGGTGTGCGTGGCTGCCTGCGTGTGCGCGTCCAAACTGACAGAGGGATTATTTTGATATATCTAGGTTCAAAGAATTCAACAATACTAATTATCATCCCCTAATATTAAGTGTCAGTGTTTCTCCTATATTAATCGTTCCCACCACTCCCCCCAAAAATATATTTATATAAAAATGTTGGGATGGTAAAACGTGTAAACTTAAACGACTAAAACCAGATATACAGTATATAGAAAAACCAGATATAAAGTATATAGAAAAGATAATGGAGCTATGTATTTATAAGATCATCTTTGAGAACTAACAACCACCAAAATAAAACTAGACAGTCAGGGAAAATCTAAAATCCCCAAAATGTCATGGCATGGGGCCCCCATTGATTTTGTTATGTTTGAGTCACTCAGCATAAGAACACGGAATAAGCCATGGCAAAATTTGAGTTACATATGGGATAAACAAAACGTACAGTCAAAAACACAATAGAAAATATATATACAGTGTGTGCAAATGTAGTAAGTTATGGAGGTAAGGCAATAAATAGGCCATAGTGCAAAATAATTACAATTTCGTATTAACACTGGAGTGATAGATGTGCAGAAGATGATGTGCAAATAGAGATACTGGGGTGCAAATGAGCAAAATAAATAACAATATGGGGATGAGGTAGTTGGATGGGCTAATTACAGATGGGCTGTGTACAGGTGCAGTGATCGGTGAGCTGCTCTGACAACTGATGCTTAAAGTTTGTGAGGGAGATAAGTGTCTCCAGCTTCAGAGATTTTTGCAGTTTGTTCCAGTCATTGGCAGCAGAGAACTGGAAGGAATGGCGGCGAAAGGAGGTGTTGGCTTTGGGGATGACCAGTGAGATATACCTGCTGGAGCGCATACTACGGGTGGGTGTTGCTATGGTGACCAATGAGCTAAGATAAGGCGGGGATTTGCCTAGCAGTGATAACACTGATAAGTCTGCCCGTAAGTGGGTATATATTCTTTAATTTAGAAAGAGACATTTCAAGAGAGAAACGGGTTAGAGTTCAGTTATACCAAAAAGCTCAATTGTGGCTGGCATTCTAGTGATAATTGCTGAAGTGGCCTGTGTGGAGTGCAGGCTTCCTGAGTGCTCCAGTGCTCTCTGAGGTCTTTCTCTGATACTGGGCATAATGAGAGTCATGTCTAATGGCCTGTCTCTCTCTGCCGTCTGGACCTCAGAAAACAAACTACTGCAATTGCTTTATGAAAAACGACTGTATTTTTGTGGTTGCTATTCAATAAAAGCCTTAATCTGAAAGCAGTGGCTGTGTCCGAATACCCGTACTGCATTCTAAATAGTAGGCATTTTGGGTATGCGAAAATAGAACGTTTTATAGTATGTGAAATTTGAGTATGCATTAAATGCCAGGATGTCATACTAATTTCGGCTTTTCGTCTAGTAGAATTCGCTGCATACTTGAGGAAGAAAATCGTCTTTCGAGACACGTGTGTTTGACAACAGATGATAAGTGACGCGCTATACCAAAATGAACGAATGGTTGGAATGAATGCAATTGCGCATTAGATGACGCATTCTCAGCCTAGTATGTTGATATTTGTTGCTTATTGCATAACTAAACAGTGTGTTCTAAATAGTATGTAGTATGATTAGTACACAGTATGTCGTTTTAGTAAGTAGTAGGCAAGACAGATTTCGGACATGGCCAGTGTTTCATTGTGTCAGTGAAATATTTTGGTGGTAAATATGATCAGCTGACTCAATCACACCGTTTTTAGTTATCGTTTGTTGTGGAAATATAGTCAGGAGAGAGTTGGGAAAGGTGCTGTGCTATTACAGGTGAAAAGCCTTGTAACAAAAAGGTTTGCCGACATTTCCAAAGGCTTATAGAATGATTCCTACAAAGTAGAGGGTCAGAAACCTTTTGACTTTTTCCACAATTTGTTGTTACAGCCTGAATTAAAAAATTGATTCAATTTAGATTTAGTGTCACTGGCTTACACACAATACTCCATAATGTCAAAGTGGAATTATATTTTTAGAAATGTTTACAAATGAATTAAAAATGGAAAGCTGAACTGGCTTGAGTCAATAAGTATTCAACCCCTTTGTAATGGCAAGCCTAAATAAGTTCAGGAGTAAAAATGTGCTTAATAAGTTGCATGGACTCACTCTGTGTGCAATAATAGTGTTTAACATGATTTTTGAATGACCACATCATCTGTAAGGTCACTCAGTTGAGCAGTGATTTCAAACACAGATTCAACCACAAAGACAGGGAGGTTTTCCAATGCCTCCCAAAGAAGGGCACCTATTGGTAGATGGATGACAAAGGAAAAAAAGCAGACAATGAATATACCTTTGAGCATGGTAAAGTTATTAATTACACTTTGGATGGTGTATCAATACACCCAGTCACTACAAAGGTACAGGTCTCCTTCCTAACTCAGTTGCTGGAGAGGAAGGAAACCGCTCCGGAATTTCACCATGAGGCCAATGGTGACTTTAAAACAGTTACAGATTTTAATGGTTGTGATAGGAGAAAACTGAGGATGGATCAACAACATTGTAGTTACTCCACAATACTAACCTACATGACCGAGTGAAAATAAGGAAGCCTGTACAGAATAAAAATATTCCAAAACATGCATCCTGTTTGCAATAAGGCACTAAAGTAAAACTGCCAAAAATGTGGGTAAAATATGTCCTGAATACAAAGCATTATGTTTGGGGCAAATTCAACACATCACTGAGTACCACTCTTCATATTTTCAAGCATGGGTGGTGGCTGCATCATGTTATGGGTATGCTTGTCATTGGCAAGGACTAGGGAGTTTTGTTGGGGATAAAAATAAACTGAATAGAGCTAAGCACAGGCAAAGTCCTAGAGGAAAACATGGTTCAGGCTTTCCAACAGACACTGGGAGACAAATTCATATTTTAGCAGGACAATAACCTAAAACACAAGGCCAAATATACACTGGAGTTGCTTACCAAGACGACATTGAATGTTCCTGAGTGGCCTAGTTACAGTTTTGACTGAAATCTGCTTGAAAATGGCTGTCTAGAAATGATCAACAAGCAACTTGACAGACGTTGAATAATTTTTTAAAATAATAATGTGCAAATATTGTACTATCCAGGTGTGCAAAGCTCTTAAAGACTTACCCAGAAAGAATCGCTTCCAAAGGTGATTCTAACATATATTGACTCAGGGGTGTGAATACTGATGTAAATTAGATATTTATGCATTTAATTTTTTCTCCTAAAAACAGGTTATCAATTTGTCATTATGGGGTATTGTGTGTAGATGGGTTTGAATTCAGGCTGTAACACAACAAAATGTGGAATAAGTCAAGGGGTATGGATACTTTCTGAAAGCACTGTACAACCATCCGAAGGACTGGGTAGAGGCATGTCTGACCAGTGTATGCATGTGTGTGTGCCAGCGGAGGACTGATGAGGCGCGGGGCCTGTTGTGGCTGATGGAGGAGGAGGCTCTGCAGCCTGGGGGTTCAGAGGATACTCTACTGGGACGCCTCTTCAGCTACTATGGCCCTGCCAAGGGAGAGCGCAAAGGTGAACACACACAGTCAAATCTGTTGCTCATCACTCAGGCACAGCTCAACAACAGTCACATCTGTTATCTCTCTCTCTCTCACTCACTCACTCACACACACACACACACACACACACACACACACACACACACACATACACACACACACAAGAAAGTTAGAGGCACAAAGATCATACCCCCAAGGGATGCTAACCTCTTACCATTACCAATAAAAGGGGAGGTTAGCATTTTTTGGGGGGCATGATATTTATGCCTCTAACTTTCTCACTTATTATTATTATTATTATTAATATTAACGATTCATTCATGATTACCCTTAATCATGGTAGCATCCACATTAATGTAGAAGTGTTCAGAAACATATTCTATTCTTATTTAAAATAAAAGTGACTCCAAAATGACACAGTACATTATTTACCATTCATTTCTATTGGCCACCACAACATAATCGGTCACAAGCCTGACGTAGTCATTGCGTGCTAGGAATATGGGACCAAATACTACACTGTTGACTACTTCAATACTCATATGTGCATTTGTCCAAATACTTATATCTTCAAATGGGGGGACTAGATCCATAAAGTGCTTTCATTTCTAAACGATAAAACTGATATGTATGAAAATACCCTCAAATAAAAGGTGGCATTCTATACTGTTGCCTCATATGAAACATTTGATCTCAAATCCAAAATGCTGGAGTATAGAGCCAAATAAAAAGTTTTAGCTTCACTATCCAAATAAATACCAAAACAATAGAATTGCCATGGAAACGTGTGGGGGGGAAAGGGCCGTGGGGGAAAGATCCCGAGTCTCCTCATTGCCTCCCAGCAAAATGGGCCTACATTTAGGATATTGTTTATATGTGCATTTCACACTATGTTGAGTTAAAATAGTGTTTTGAAAAATATATATATATATACAAAAATAAAGTGCCTTATAGAAAATACAATGTCCGGTGATATGATAAATATATTTGTATGTTTTTCTTCTTCATATATGTTCATTGCCACACAATGCACACATATATAAACATCCATCCACAGACGCAAACATTCATTGAAATACATAATGGTTATCAACTCCTTTTCCCTCACTACCTGTCAGATCACACCTTGCTGCTGAAGAGTGGGAAGCCACATCACTTCCTGTTGGGCCACAGTCATGGGACAGACTGGGTGGAGTATGACGCCCGTGGTTGGCTGAGCCATGCCAAACAGAACCCTGCCTCTACCAACGCAGGGAGTCTCCTGCAGGACTCCCACAAGTAAGACCCACATAATGTTTTAGCTTGATTGGCAATGCTTGCAACAGACATGTCTGACCCTGATTGGTGTCTCTCCTTTCCAGGAAGAACATCAGTGGTCTTTTTATGAGCCGAGGAGGCGGGGCCACCATCCTGCCAGGCTCCATCGCGGGCATGGAGGGTGTTTCACAGCTGACCTTGCGGCGCGCCACCAGCATGAGGAAGACCTTCACCACTGGGGTGGCGGCAGTCAAGAAGAAGTCCCACTGCATCCAGATCAAACTACAAGTGGTAAGAGGCTGGGGGCCGTCTGCAGGGGGCAGATCTGGTGGAGAGAAGGAAAGCGAGAGGGCTTCCCAAAAAATCATATTTACACTTCTGTTCCTGTAACAGTCTGGGCATATCCAGCTAAGTTGTTGGGCCACAGGGCCTCTCATTTGAATCCTACCCATGGGCTGATTCAGTAATAGGAGTCATTTAATTAGCACTACCTAATATATACCCTCCCTCCGGAAGAGGTGTTCGCATAGCGTTTGGGAGATCATCCATCTTCCTGTGTTTTTACCATATTATTACAGCTTGAAAGCGTAGGAGCTAGGAGACATCCACGTGTAGGTCCTAGGCATTCGATTTCCTGCTCCTGAGAGTACTTTCCTTAACTATACCATTTATTAAAACACAGGCGGATTGCTTAATGTATGAAATGTACTATTAAACTCAGCAAAAAAAGAAACATCCCTTTTTCAGGACACTGTCTTTCAAAGATAATTTGTAAAAAATCCAAATAACTTCACAGATCTTCATTATAAAGGGTTTAAACACTGTTTCCCATGCTTGTGATTGAACCATAAACAATTAATGAACATGCACCTGTGGAACGGTCGTTAAGACACTAACCGCTTACAGACGGTAGGCAATTAAGGTCACAGTTATGAAAACTTAGGACACTAAACAGGCCTTTCTACTGACTCTGAAAAACACCAAAAGAAAGATGTCCAGGGTCCCTGCTCATCTGCGTGGACGTGCCTTAAGCATGCTGCAAGGAGGCATGAGGACTGCAGATGTGGCCAGGGCAATAAATTGCAATGTCCGTACTGTGAGACGCCTAAGACAGCGCTACAGGGAGACAGGACGGACAGCTGATCGTCCTCGCAGTGGCAGACCATGTGTAACAACACCTGCACAGGATCGGTACATCCGAACATTACACCTGCGGGACAGGTACAGGATGGCAACAACAACTGCCCGAGTTATACCAGGAATGCACAATCCCTCCATCAGTGCTCAGACTGTCCGCAATAGGCTGAGAGAGACTGGACTGAGGGCTTGTAGGCCTGTTGTAAGGCAGGTCCTCACCAGACATCACTGGCAACAACGTCGCCTATGGGCACAAACCCACCGTCGCTGGACCAGACAGGACTGGCAAAAAGTGCTCTTCACTGACAAGTCGCGGTTTTGTCTCACCAGGGGTGATGGTCGGATTCGCGTTTATCGTCGAAGGAATGAGCGTTACACCGAGGCCAGTACTCTGGAGCGGGATCGATTTGGAGGTGGAGGGTCCGTCATGGTCTGGGGCGGTGTGTCAGAGCATCGTCGGACTGAGCTTGTTGTCATAGCAGGCAATCTCAACGCTGTGCGTTACAGGGAAGACATCCTCCTCCCTCATGTGGTACCCTTCCTGCAGGCTCATCCTGACATGACCCTCCAGCATAACAATGCCACCAGCCATACTGCTCGTTCTGTGCGTGATTTCTTGCAAGACAGGAATGTCAGTGTTCTGCCATGGCCAGCGAAGAGCCCGGATCTCAATCCCATTGAGCACGTCTGGGACCTGTTGGATTGGAGGGTGAGGGCTAGGGCCATTCCCCTCCAGAAATGTCCGGGAACTTGCAGGTGCCTTGGTGGAAGAGTGGAGTAACATCTCACAGCAAGAACTGGCAAATCTGGTGCAGTCCATGAGGAGGAGATGCACTGCAGTACTTAATGCAGCTGGTGGCCACACCAGATACTGACTGTTACTTTTGATTTTGACCCCCCCTTTGTTCAGGGACACATTATTCAATTTCTGTTAGTCACATGTCTGTGGAACTTGTTCAGTTTATGTCTATTGTTGAATCATGTTATGATCATACAAATATTTACACATGTTAAGTTGACAGTGAGAGGACGTTTCTTTTTTTAGTTTATATCCATTAGTGAGAGCCAGTGTATGGAGCCTTTGCATATGATTAATGGTTTGGTCTCTGATTAGGCCGGTTACTCTCTCGATGCATGTTGAGGCCTTGCCCTCTCTCATAGCACTCACTGTTACCATTTGAGTCCCAGCTAACTCCCCTCTCTCCTGCAGGACGCTCTGCTGGACACTGTGCGGAGGTCCAGGGTTCACTTTATCCACTGCCTGCTGCCCAATGCTGATGCCCTGCGGGTGGGCAGAGCGGAGTTGGAGGCCCAGGGGGAGAGTGGAGACTCTGGCCTGATGCAGCTGGATGTGGCCCTGCTCCGGACCCAGCTCCGCGGCTCCAAGCTGCTGGACGCCCTCAGAATCTACAGACAAGGTGAGAAAGCTGATTGGACTGGAGGCTGTGGATGTTAGACTAGAAAGGTCTGGAAGGGTCTCTCAAACCAAACGATGAACACTGCTGTTCTTCACAAAGAGCAGTGTTTAAATAAATCTTTATGTAAGAAAAATAGAGCTTTATAACCTTGCCCCGATGTCCTTGTCTTTACAGGATACCCTGATCACATGGTCTTCTCCGAGTTCCGCCGCCGCTTCAACGTGCTGGCACCACACCTGAACAAGAAACTTGGCCGCAACTACATGGTGAAGGATGAGAAGAGGGTGAGTCTATTTTTCTGTGTGTGTGTTTGGAGAAAATAATATGATTCAGGCCAACCCGAGGTCTGCATTGTTATATTAATGAGCTGAATAGACAATCTCCTCCGTGGCTGTCAGTAGCCCACTGACAGAGGAATTAACCTCTATTAATCAGGGCCATTGTGATGACCTAATCAACTTAGCCACAGCTGCATCCCACTCACTACCAAGTCTAATCAATAAGGAGCAGAGACAGGAAGCACTGGGGTTTAAGGCTGAACAAAATACCCAAAACTTGGTACTGCACTTATCAACTTTGTGAAATATATTGTCTAACCTGGAGGCCGTCTGGCGGGTGGTTTTGCCCTAATGATTTGCTTATGAAGGGAGCTCCCCACTGCATTGGTTTATGTGAGATGTGACTGGTGAGAGGGCCTAATGGTTATTGCAGCCATTTCTATCTCAATATCAAATCATTTCTGGGTAACAATTAAGTACCTTACTTTTGTTTATTTGACAATTTTCATTGAAATCAATCAAAGTATCTTAGCAAAGAGCAATTTCTTAAGCAAGAATTTTGCTAGGACTGTCTGAGTGGGGAGGTGGAAAACTAGCTTTTATTGGCAGAGAGGTTTGGAACTCTCTTTCTGATTGGTCTGTTAACTAATTGGTGATGTCACCAGGCAGGCCAAAACTCCATCCCACTAAAACAGGTTGAAATCTCAGGCGGTTTGTTCAAAATGCTCTTACACTAAAAGGGCATTATCATTTTCACAGTATTATTACAAACTCATAGTGTGGAAATGTATATAAAACACAGAGAAATCACTTGACTGCACTGGTCCTTTAAAAGTGTTTTAGTGTAACCCAACCTGTGAAGGGAGGATTGCTAATGACTGTTCCACTCTGAGGTTAACTATCAATGAGGGTCAATTGTGTCTTGGTCCCCTGCAAGAGGAGCCTGGCTGAAGTGAAACGGTGGGGAATAAACATGAGAGCGTGAGCGAAGTGGGTAAAAACAGAGAAAAGCAGATTTCCCCTGCGTCAGCTTCTCGGAGCGGGGTTTCTATTGAAACAGCATCAGACAAAAGACCCTCAGTGCTCTGGGCTGCAGCCCCTCTCACAGTGTAATCTAGATGGGGGCTTTCAGGCTGGGGGCTCAAGTAGACCTGTCCACACCACACAGGGAAGGGGAAGGCAGAGAGACTCATGGAGATGGACAGAAACACAGCGGGAGAGCTGCAGGCGGTGCCTCTCTGCAGAGGCTGTATTTGTTCAAGTCTGCTATGGGGCCGAGACCACCACAGGGTCAGGAGGGATGAGCCTGGAGCAGGTGGATTCTGGAGGACTAGCTGTCTGGTCAGTTTTAATTTGCCTCTCTCCCTGCACATGCTCTGTGTCCTGGAGGAGAGAGTGGGGATTGGGGGCAGAGGTGTGAGGGGAGAATGTGAAAGGAATACAGTTCAGGATTCTGTCTGATAAGAGAAGTGGTTGTTGGGATCCTCTGCGGGACTGCTGTAGAGGGATAATCCGGGGGTAGAGGGGCAGTGACTGATCTGTGTGTGTTTCCAGGCTGTGGAGGAGCTGCTGGAGTCCCTGGACCTGGAGAAGAACAGCTATCACATGGGACTGAGCAGGGTGAGTACCACTACTACCACAGTAAAACCTCACACCTTGAATGAGTCACTGGTAAAACTACCTCGGTTTATATTATATTGTGTGAGAGGGGTTATAGAAACTCAAAAACCGAATGTTGCATACAGTAGGTTTCCTTAATTTGTAGCTATAGATTCCTCCTTCCAGGTGTTTCTCCTTGAGGAATGTGTTTGTCATTGTGTGAACTGTCTGGCAAGTGTTGGCTGCCCTGGAAGTCTCTTTGCTGAGGAGGATGGATCTGAGAGGCGTGCCTGCCTTCCAGCCTCACTGTGAGACACACAATCATGTCTCCTTTGTATTCATGTCAATATGGAGTCATTTCTGGCAGGTGATGGACTTTTAATCCCATCAGTTGGGAAGTGGCCCAAAGCCAACAAGAACATCAGGAGAAACAACGTTGGGAGAAACAATGGCTCCTATGCTCCCAGATGCTGGTAATTTACTGGACCAAATTACAACATGGGAGAGATGGTAATTATTTTGGAGACCACTGCAGTTGCCTTCGGGGTTTGAAGTTTGATCTGGGCTCCGGAGTAGATTAGCACCAAGATGGTGCTTCGCAAAGCATTCCAATGGCGTCCTAGCAACAGCAGTGACCCCAGCAGAATGCCAATTAACAGCAGCACCAAATCTTGTCATGACACTGGGTCCACACAACTCTCACTGTGGTAAACACTGTCACAACTGGAAGTCACATGGCTAACGAGATGGTGTCACATTTAATGTCTCCATTCTGATCATAATAGAACCCAGACAAATCTCCTCACTGGTGGAGAAACGGTTACAGTATGGACAAAGTACGGCTGACACTTCTTTCTTCTTTCCATTACCCTATGTAGAGAGAGTTTTTCTAAGAGGACAAAAGAGAAACATCAGTTTGATTTTGAAGCCAATTTCATGACATTGTCCCTCTAACATGATTGTACAGTATGTAGCCCTCTTCTCAATATCGGGCTATATACTATATCTAAAGCGGAAATTGATAGTTAAATATAGTTCCATGCCCGTAGCGAGAGAAAAAAATGTCCCCTGATTTTAATTTCCAAAATCTGGTCACCTTAACTTCAGGTCAGTTCCACCTCCTGGTTCTTTCATGTATGCCAGGAAGGTTTGGTCATTTATAAAGCACTGGAGCCTGGCTACGGAGGCCTTGGATAGAGACGGCTCTCCCATCACTATCTGTCCTTCGCCTTAAGCAGCTGACTGACTGCCACCAGCCTTCACACTGCTTCACACAGCCCTGGTGTGATTATGTCTCTGTGTGTGTGAATGACAGGAGCATGTCATGTGATGGCACTTCAACTGGCCCTTTTAAATCTGTTTCACCTCTGACCCAGCTAATAGGGACACAATGCTAACACTGTCAGAGATAGCGACTTCATCACCCAATAGATTGCCTTCTCTCCTTTTCTTTAGACTACAATGAATGGATTATAATATTTCCAGTTAATGTAATATATTTGTATAGTAGGTGCTAAAAAGGCAGATATTTTCTTGAGGTCAGTTATGTGCCAAAATTATTGATTGGAATCCACTCCGAAATTGAACAAACATGACTATATCCCTTTTTTTTATGATGAACTAAAAGGTGTGTTCTTTTGTCCCCAGTTGTTCTTCAGAGCGGGGACCTTGGTGAAACTGGAGGAGCAGAGGGAGGAGCAGACCAGACGCAACATCACCCTGTTCCAAGCAGCCTGCAGTGGATACCTGGCCAGACAGGCCTTCAGGAAGAGGAAGGTAGGCATGACTACACCACGGCTTCACGGTCATCCAGCTAGCTGCTGCTTCTTGGAGTGTACCTGTCAGAGAAGAAAGTCATAAGCAGGGAAGGAGACAAAGATGTACTGTGTATGTCAAGGCTATTGACTGTGACTGTCCAATATGATCAAAATCTGTTTTATAGTTAGAATTTTATTTATTTTCCATGATTTACATTGATAAATCATTTTGAGATGATCATTTTGAGACAGAAAACAAGTTGATTGTGGTCAATGTGGTTGCCTTGGAGTCTGTGGAGTGAAGGAGCCTGTTCCTAATTTTAGAGGATGTTTGCTCTGCCATAGGACTACAGCTACCTCTGCTGTAAATCTCTAACTATGACTTATTAAAACCATCAGCCTAACCCCTCCCCATCCCCCCTTCCTCCTACCTGATGCACCCTGTCACCATCTGCACCAGCTACGGGGTGACATGTCCCCCTCAATCACACCCTATCATACGTGTTAGCGTTTCCTTCTTCTCCATTCTAGCTCTACTTCTCCCTCCATTTATCTCTCTCCATGAGATGGGGCCATCTCTCTGGCCCTGATAGCATCTCTGCAACTGATGTATGGAATGCAGCTCTCCTCTCCTCCACTGTGTGTGATTACACTCTAAGTGAGGAGGCTGTCTTCATCTGTCTGGCCAGCCCTGAACTCTCTGGCTGGTACACAACCACCCACAGGACATCACTACCTTCACTGGCTGGACCTATCCTTCACCTCCACACCTACACTACCATTTACAGATCAGTCATCGTTGTTTACACTCATTGTCTTCAGGCAGCATCCATACAATGACACCGTGGTGAAGAAGGCACGACAGCGGCTCTTCAACCTTGGGATGCTGAAGAAATTCGACCTGTCCCTGAGGGCCCTCACAGTGTAATACAGAAGCACCATCGAGAGCATACTGTCGGGCTGCATCTCAGCCTGGTATGGCAACTCCACCGCCGCAGACTGCAAGGTGCTACAGAGGGTGGTACATGCAGCCGAACGCACCATTGGGTGCACGCTGCCTGCCGTCCAGGACACCTACAACACCAGGTGTCGCAAGAAGGTCAAGAAGATCTGGGACCCCAGCCACCCGAGCCATGGCCTGTTCTCCCCGTTTCCATCACTCAGACTACCCCCAGACCATCAGGCTGCTGAATAGCCACCACTAGTCAGCTACTTGCTCCCCCTGTCCCCCTCCTGGCTCCCCGGACCCCCCCGCCTCCCCAATGGAAATGTATTATTATTTGTAGTTATTTCAAATTTTTTTATTATCTATTTTTATTTTTGTTTTATTTCACTTTGTCCTGCATTGTTGGAGCTCAACAATTTCACTGTACCGTGTAATTACATCTGTAACCCAGTACATGTGACTATTAAACTCTAACTAATCTAATATGGCTTTAAGCTTTCTGAGAAACGGACATACGCTGCAATATCTTCCCAAGTAGGTCTAGGGGAATTGTTTTATAGATAGTTTAGCCATTTTTGTTATCACTGCATCTATTAAAGAGTTGTGAATCTTTTTATTCATTTATTTTCATGATCAAATCAAATCACATTTTATTGGCCACATGCGCCGAATACAACAGGTGCGACATTGCAGTGAAATGCTTACTTACAGCCCTTAACCAACAGTGCATTTATTTTTTTATAAAAAAGTAAAATAAAACAACAACAAAAAAGTGTTGAGGGAAAAAAAGAGCAGAAGTAAAATAAAATAACAGTAGGGAGGCTATATATACAGGGGTGTACCGGTGCAGAGTCAATGTGCGGGGGCACCGGCTAGTTGAGGGAGTTGGAGTAATATGTACATGTGGGTAGAGTTAAAGTGACTATGCATAAATAATTAACAGAGTAGCAGCAGCGTAAAAATATGGGGTGGGGGTGGGGGGGCAGTGCAAATAGTCAGGGTAGCCATGATTAGCTGTTCAGGAGTCTTATGGCTTGGGGGTAGAAGCTGTTGGACCTAGACTTGGCACTTCGGTACCGCTGGCTGTGCAGTAGCAGAGAGAACAGTCTATGACTAGGGTGGCTGGAGTCTTTGACAATTTTTAGGGCCTTCCTCTGACACCGCCTGGTATAGAGGTCCTGGATGGCAGGAAGTTTGGCCCCAGTGATGTACTGGGCCGTACACACTACCCTCTGTAGTGCCTTGCGGTCAGAGGATGAGCAGTTGCCATACCAGGCGGTGATGCAACCAGTCAGGATGCTCTCGATGGTGCAGCTGTATAATTTTTTGAGGATCTGAGGACCCATGCCAAATCTTTTCTGTCTCCTGAGGGGGAATAGGCTTTGTCGTGACCTCTTCACGACTATCTTGGTGTGTTTGGACCATGATAGTTTGTTGGTGATGTGGACACCAAGGAACTTAAAGCTCTCAACCTGTTCCACTAAAGCCCCGTCGATGAGAATGGGGGCGTGCTCAGTCCTCTTTTTTTTTCCTGTAGTCCACAATCATCTCCTTTGTCTGAGGTAGAGGTTGTTATCCTGGCACCACACGGCCAGGTCTCTGACCTCCTCCCTATAGGCTGTCTCATCGTTGTCGGTGATCAGGCCTACCGCTGTTGTGTCATCAGCAAACTTAATGATGGTGTTGGAGTTGTGCCTGGCCATGCAGTCATGGGTGAACAGGGAGTACAGGAGGGGACTGAGCACGCACCCCTGAGAGATTGCATCATCTGTGGATCTGTTGGGGCGGTATGCAAATTGGAGTGGGTCTAGGGTTTCTGGGATAATGGTGTTGATGTGAGCCATGACCAGCCTTTCAAAGCACTTCATGGCTACAGCTGTCAGTGCTACGGGTTGGTAGTCATTTAGGCAGGTTATCTTAGTGTCCTTGTGTACAGGGACTATGGTGGTCTGCTTGAAACATGTTGGTATTACAGACTCAGTCAGGGACATGTTGAAAATATCAGTGAAGACACTTGCCAGTTGGTCAGCACATGCTCGGAGTACACGTCCTGGTAATCCGTCTGTGAATGTTGACCTGCTTAAAAGTCTTACTCACATTGGCTACGGAGAGCGTGATCACATAGTCATCCGGGACAGCTGGTGCTCTCATGCATGCTTCAGTGTTGCTTGCCTCGAAGCGAGCATAGAAGTGGTTTAGCTTGTCTGGAAGTCTTGTGTCACTGGGCAGCTCGCGGCTGTGCTTCCCTTTGTAGTCTGTAATAGTTTTCAAGCCCTGCCACATCCGACGAGCGTCAGAGCCGGTGTAGTACGATTCAATCTCAGTCCTGTATTGACTCTTTGCCTGTTTGATGGTTCGTCGGAGGGCATAGCGGGATTTCTTATAAGCGTCCGGGTTAGAGTCCCGCTCCTTGAAAGCGGCAGCTCTACCCTTTAGCTCAGTGCGGATGTTGCCTGTGGGGACGACATCATCGATGCACTTATTGATGAAGCCAGTGACTGATGTGGTGTACTCCTCAATGCTATCTGAAGAATCTCAGAACATGTTCCAGTCTGTGCTAGCAAAACAGTCCTGTAGCTTAGCATCTGCGTCGTCTGACCACTTTTTTATTAACCGAGTCACTGGTGCTTCCTGCTTTAGTTTTTGCTTATAAGCAGGAATCAGGAGGATAGAGTTATGGTCAGATTTGCTAAATGGAGGGTGAGGGAGAGCTTTGTATGCATCTCTGTGTGTGGAGTAAAGATGGTCTAGAGTGTGGAGTAAAGATGGTCTAACATGCTGGTAGAAATTAGGTAGACATAAGCAGCTTTTGCGTAATGGGAATGTGGTGGAAATAGGAACCTGGAAAAGCCCAATGTTTTTCTCTTATGAAGTTCAAAGGGCATCGTTCAGAGACTGAGGCATGCTGAGGGAGAGGAGCGCCATTTAATCAGTTGGAAAGGGCAGGAAATCTGCACTGAGGAACTGTGTGATGGCTAACTGTACCATTACTAAATCCATTAAGACTGCTCGCCTATTGTTTTTCTGAATGCCTTCTCTGTTTCCTCAATAGAAAGATACGATTCTGCCTCCCGTGTGGCACAGCGGTCTAAGGCACTGCATCGCAGTGCTTGAGGCTTCACTACAGACCCGGGTTCGATCCCAGGCTGTGTCACAACTAGCCGAGACCGGGAGTACCATAGGGCGGCGCACAATTGGCCCAGTATCGTCCGGGTTAAGGTTTGACCGGGGGGGCTTTACTTGGCTCATCCTGCTCTAGCGACTCCTTGTGGCGGGCCGGGCGCCTGCAGGCTGACTTCGGTGTTTCCTCCGACACATTGGTGCGGCTGGCTTCCAGGTTAAGCGGGCGGGTGGTAAGGAGCGCGGTTTGGCGGGTCATGTTTCGGAGGATGCATGACTCAACCTTCACCTCTCCGAGCCCGTTGGGGAGTTGCAGAGATGAGACAAGATCGGAATTGGATATGACAAAATTGGGGAGAAAAATAATAAGATTAAATATATTTTTTCTTGTAAAATCTTTGTCTCTGAACTAAATTTCAGGTTTTTGTGTGGTGAGATGTAGTATGAGGGCTAAGGTTCTCTGATTTCATCTGGTTAAGAGTGGTTGTTTCATATCAGTGTATCAACAGTTATTTCTATTCCAGTCTAAAGATTTATTTGTTTGAGTAATTCTTGGTTTAGTGGTTCATTGTTCACCAGGTTTTTTACCTGATTGCACCTTCTATGAACTTTTTAGATAATGTACAGTTCATCTGTAACATAATAAAGTCATAGACCTAGATTACCTATAAAACAATGGGTTTTCATTGGAAACCTTAAGAGTCTGTCTGGTTTAGTCAGTGTGATAATGATGATAGACTAGGCCATTTGCATTTCTCGGTCTGCCCTGAAAATCACCTGAATGGCAAATATATGCAGTAGGTAAAAAAGTAGTTATTCCAAATGCACCAGCCCAAGACCAGTGTAATTGGAGGAATGCGATGAAGTGGTATATTACTGTGTCTGGTCCCCTTACCCTCCCTCCCTTCTCCCTCCCTCTCCTGCAGGAAGATTAACTGAGTGTCTCTATC